AGTGCGGCAGTTCTAGGCCTTGAACTTTCATCTGCTTTTCTCTTGGAAAGCTTGTATTGGGAAAAAACAGCTCTTCATGTAGAAGCTCCAACTAATCTGTTACCTTCATGTTTTTTTGAAAATGTCGAGAAAGAAGCCTCTCCTGGAGAGGAGAGAAGTCAAGGTAGAATCAGGTTCTAGGCATGTGGCGTTAAGAAAATATTTTTAGAATTTTATCCCCAACACCAGCTTCCAGAGTTAAGCCTATAATTAAGATAAAAAATCCAGCTATTGCACTTTTCCAAAATTCTCCCCCGCTACAAATAGTGTATGTTAAATAAAATGGGTGGTTTAAAGTCCATTACACGAAAGTCACATGTTTTATTTTTTATAACTCTTAAGTAAACAAACCACAGCCTATTACTTGCTCGATTCAGGATTCATCTATGATCTGAAGTATGTTTGGCAATAATTAGTTTTTCTGGTGGGAAAATATTATGTTTACAGGTTGGGAGCTTAAAATATAGTGGATAGAATATAGAGATCACAAGATTTTGACATGAGATTGGAAACTGTAATTTGGAGGCCTGATTGTAGGGTGTATATATAAAGTTATCTATATGCATAATTCTTAAAAATATGATGTAATTCTATTACCACTATATCTCTTCACAGAGCACCCCAACTGCCAAAAGCACCTGGCCTGTATGCAGCTGATCATTCCAAATCCCAATCACAATTTCTTTCTCCTTTGAAAAAAACACGTAGCTTAGGATTCTTGGCTTTCAAACTCTTTCCCATTCACCTAACTCCTCTCATCTTCAGATACGTTTCCCAGCTTCCCTAAAGGATCAGTATTACTTACAGAAAACTGGAATCACAAAAAGAACCACTAGACAGGCTTAACATTTGAGAGAACTAGCTCATTTCTTTGACTTTCTTGCGCTTCACTCCGCTAACCGTTTTTCTCCCTGTGATTTATGCCTCGTCCAGAATCTAATTTCTGCTAAAATATATGCATGCTTGTGCTTTCTTACCAGTTTTTTGTTGCTCAATGTGCTCAAAAAATATGTGTTCGTTACCTATTTAACATCTTGTGTTAGATCTATGTGCTGAATGTGCGTGAATTAATTGTTCTTAATAGAGACAAAAACAATCAAGACTTAAAGCTGTAAGTTTATAGAGACAGTCTGGTAAAGACGTGATTCCTTAAACTCTTTCGGATAAATAACTCCACATTTGGTGGCTCTATCATCTCAAGGATTTATCAATCCCTGGGCCCTATCACATTCTTTCCCAAAGGAGGAGATGCGTCACTTGAACTGGGACTACTTTCTCGTACTAACACTGCCCATGAATTACTTCTATTACCCTTTATTGTTTTTTCTACCTATTTTAAGATTGTATATCATATCTATATTTTGCTTCACTTTTACTTATATATAAACTGTATAATCATTTAATTTTATTGGGAGTACCCTGAGGGCAAAAAATAGATTCTTATCTTTTTTATAGAAGTGCGCTTTTAAAAAGTTATATAAAATAAAAAAGCTGCCGTTTTCAACAAAAGGGTATAAATGAGATTAAACTGGCCTTAGATTCTGAATTTTTTCCTATGGCGTCTAGATGGAGCCGCTAAGAATCTGCATTTTCACGTTGCTTTAGGATTCCAGTTGTTTCTGGTGCAGGATGTGGCAGAAACTATCAACAAATGCTGCCTTTAGACAATAGTGGATGTGATTTAAGACAATATGCCTACAGTATGTAAGGCAGTGAGTGACTGAAAGGCACGAGTCAGCTTAAAAATCCTTTGCCAATCGTCCAGCGGAAGATGATCAGGAAGGGCCTGATCTACGCAGAAGTATTAGGAATAGAAAGGGGCGGACAGATGAAGCCCTAAACTAGCCTATTAACAAGTTTCCTGAAACCTGTTTTTATTTAAAGGCTGCCTTAGAAAAGAAAATGTTACTGTTGTAAGCACTAAAACAAACACAACCAAAAAGTGTTTCTTAACTGGGGAAATTATGATGCTGCTGTTATGTTGGTATCTAAATGCAAATTTTGGCGATGCTAGGCTGCCATTTATGGAAGAACTAAAACAACCAACAATAATACTATATCACATTTCTAGAAACAAAACAAACTTAGCTGTACTGGCCATTAGTAAATGATAAGCCCTTTAAATTAAACGTCTTTAGCGATTCTATTTTATACTTCAAACTTTTCGATGGGAGCCTGTTTTAATTCGATGCGTAAAACCAACAAACAGAGAGGCCTCTGTGTATGGGGGAGTAGCCGGTTTGGCATACCAGCTGGGCTTGCTGTGCGCCATTTCTACTTTCATGGTAATGACCAGCACACAGCCTGCTAGGACAATCAGCTGGGGGGAGTTCAGATTGTCACTAGCTAAATGCGATATTCCATTGGACTAACGTTCTTATCCGGAACTCATTAAAGTTTAGTATTGACAAATTAGTTGGCTGTGAGTTTACAAACTAAGAGGCATGCTTAAGAAATGAACTTGTTGACTGTTCTTCCCTATACTTTTGCTTTGTGATCACCAGAATGTATTTGTCTACGTTGAGATGTTGATTACTATGCACCTGTAAAATTTGTAAGCACTCTTCTGCTTATAATTTTCAAAGTGAATGAATGTTCTGAAGCAAGTAGTCACATCAATTAAGGATCAACATCAATAAGAAGTTGTCGGGTATATGAAAACACAAGAATAATCAGAAAGTGACTATTTTTCTTTTTAGAACAAATAAAAAGAAGGTATGATTCCCACAAATGTTTATAACTTGGTGAGGCCCTGATTTTTATTTTAAATATTCTAATAGGATTTTTACTGGAGTAACTGTCTAAGAGTTGACTGCATCTCACTAGTCAACATGCCACTAAAATACTAGCTGAGTTTCTATTCAACCAAGCAAAGTTGGCATAGATCAAGAATAGCTCAGCTGCGTAATTTTTTAATTTGCTCTATAGGCTCATCTCTTGAAACATGCTGCACACTTAATGCAAGTCCTCCAAAGGAACGGATTTCAGAAATCAACACTGTTGGGTCAGAGTGAAGAATAAGTCTTCAATGCTTGATAAAAGCTCTACAGTGCTATTCTCTTAATCCCTGGACAATGAAGCGCATAGAGCTCAGGATATTTATATCCATTTCTTTGCCCTTCACAATCCTATGCAGTTTTGTTCTTAAGAAGTATGTTTGTCTTGTTTCAAGAATAGACTAAAAACTGACTCAGGGGTGCAGCTGGTCACACTTGTAATCCTAGCCACTTTGGGAGGCAAGCTTGTAGATCACTTGAGGTCAGGAGTATTGAGACCAGGCCTGTGGCCAACAAAAGGTGAAAACCCCATCTCTACAAAAAATACATCCTCGCTAGTGGGTGGCCAGTGCCAGTCTTTAATCAATCTACTCAGCGGAGGCTGAGGCCAGGGAAATTGGTTGAGCCGGGAGGCAGAGGTTGCAGTGAGTGGAGATTTGCCACGGCATTTCAGCCTGGGGAGCCTGAGAGACAGAGTGAGACCCTGTCTTTCAAAAAAAAAAAAAAAAAAAAAGGACTAAATTCAAGAC